TACATATTACAGTTGAACTCAATTCCTGGATTAGAAGAAATAAAAATGGAAGAAAAAGTTCAAGTCGAAGTCCCTAACGCAGGAACTGATGTAACAGAAAAATCTTCTGATGCAAAAATTCCACCTGCTGTTGGTTCCGGTGATAATGAGGTACATGTAATAAATGACAGCAATGAACAAAGAGCTTAAAATAATAAATACCAACACTATGCATTTGTATAGTATCTTAAATCAAATAAATGAAAGTAAGATGTTTAACATGCGCTGCGGCTTACCAATGGTGGGCGTATCCCCGGTGTGGCACAGTGTGGAGCGAGCCCGATTGCTGGGCGATTGGCTTTCAAATTTCGGTTTGACGAATAGCAAATAACTTGTGGTGATGTAATTCGCTACGAGAGTGGACGTAGTTCGCTAAAACAGCCACAGACAGCAGCACTGCTTAGAACGTAGCCGGTCCCATTGTATTGCCAATTGGAGGGAGAAAGACGGGACAACAAGTTGATTTCTAAGCTTGCCAGACGGGGATTTTATGGGAAAATTTACTACCAACCCCACAACAAAAAGCATGTCACACACTACACACTAACTTGGTATAGGTCCGCAAGTAACTGAAGCTAGGCTCGTACTGAGCAACAGATTGATGCACTGCAGTGTGGGTCAGTACTGACCCGGCCACGTGAGGGTGGCGATCGCCGTGGGTCAGTACTGACCCATCCGCAGCGAACGTGTTAAAATCTAACGTTACATAAGAAATTTATAGCACTTAATTACTTGTTGGAAACCTTTTTGGAAAGGAAATATATTCAAAAAGGGGTTAATAGCTTTTACAGGAAACAAGTGCTAAATCTTGTAGGTCAGTAGGCAGGCAAGTTACCTGCGTCCTGCCTCTAAGCTGTGTTTCTTTCGTGAAGTTAGTTGGCGGGCAGGTTACTTGCCTCAGGTAACTTGAAATACATAGGAAGCAAGTAACCTGCCTGCTTACTGGCCTCGTGACACGAGTCGTGTAAACGCGGCTTTGGTGTACTTCAAGTTACCTGAGGCAGGTAACCTGCTTGCCGACTGGCTTTGTGTGAATACAGCTTTTCTCAAAAACATCTACTGATTTTTAATTAATACTTAAAACTATGTTTTGATTTGTTTGTGTAGCCCGGATCGTCACAACCTGTTGAGAGTCAGTCGGCAGAGAGTGAGAGTGCAACACCATCAGCGGCTAAAGACCCTGCACTCGCCAGGTTTTTCAAAATGATTCAAGTCGGAGTCCCTTTACCTGCTGTCAAGCTAAAAATGCAACAAGAAGGCCTTGATCCCAACCTATTAGATTCGTGAATGGACAAGACTAGAGTGTATTGATTTCATGTTTTTATTCAAACAAGTTTTATATGCATTTACTTTGAAATTGGATCACTACTAGGTACATTACATGTTGTTTAGTTATTTTTTTCTACAGTGAAACCTAGTCAAAACTTTTGTATTTTTCCCAAGCTATTTTCTGTATGCATGAAGGATTATATTTTATGTATTAAAGGTTACTATGTATTTTGTCTTGGTAATCACTTTCCTTCCCTGTATTTGATTGATTGCTTGTCTATATTGTTGTAATCCAAGTGCAAAACTTTGTGCAAGTGCTGTGCTATGCAAAGCTTAACATCTACTGGTTTGATATGATCTTTACCATATCAAGTTATACCAGACTGGTCATTGACTTTGGATACTGAAGGAGACCTTCGTCAATATGGACTACTTGAAGGAGTCTCTGATAAATGTTCCTATTAAGTTCGCTAATTACTTTTTTATTCTTAGTTGCCATACTATGATCATAGAATAATAGATGGAGTTTATTCATTCTATGCTATGAAAGTAAAGACATGAAAGATGTTGTGTAGTTTATAAGTTGCTCTTTCAGTTTGGCATGATAAAAAATAGGTGTAAGAAAGTGAATTAAAATGGTGCTAACAACAGCACACTGGGTTGGTGGCTAGTCAGAGTATGAGGGATAGTAGGGGGTTTTAGTGTTTTGAAAATGGTAAAATGGTTGGGTGCTGGAAGAAAAGTAGAGTTATTTTTAAGTATGGAGGAAAATATCTAAAGGTATAAAGCAAAGGTAACGCTTTAGGAGTATGTTTTATACAAAATATTCACCCCCTTATAAAAGAAAACCCCTTAAGAAAAACTTTGGTGTTTTGATTGGAACATTTAAATATCTTTATTTTATTTCTTGGTCTCAGCTACTGCTACTGGCCAGGTGGTCCAGTCAGGGGATGATCGCGAGGTTCCTATCATTGAACGAGAATAATGTTCGGTTAAAGTATAGTCAAAAATCCAGTTCCATCCAACTAAGCTACCCATGTGGCGCTGCGTTAAATAATAAGGATGAAACATAGTACAGTACCAGTTTGGGTTTTATTGGATTCGTAATCGTGTATTTTTAGTCGAGTTTTTAAATGACGATATCTATTAAAATATAAACTCCTAACATTTGGCATCAGACAGCATAAGTATACGTTATACTATACTACATCACAAATATCATGGGTTTAAATAATTCCTTTACTAAAATATTTGAAAATGCCCTCGTGTTAGAGTGCACTCGGGACTAGGGGGTGACGAAAATTTAATACACCTTCGGGATGAAATATCCTCCCCTCCTCTAATTCAAAAATATATGACGTACTCGCATTTGGCCGCCCCCAGGCTCTTTTTTGGTTGGGGGATTGTTGTAACTCTCCTGGGAGAAAATCTGTTACTGATGAATTAATTTTGTGAGTAAAATAATACAATAATAGGAAGGTAGTAAAATACTTTGCAATCTAGTCTAATGTAACTGAAGTGTTTTTGATACAGAAATATTAGGGGGGTTTGATTTAGTATGTGGATGTACATTTTATGTATTTTTGTTTATGTTGTTTTGTTGTTATGTTTTGTTGTTATGTGTTTTGTTGTTGTTGTTGTTTTTGTTATTGTTTTATGTATTTTTGTTTCTAAATTCCAGACGCGAGGATTCGGGGATTGTTCCCTCATCTGTAACAATATTTATAGGAGATTATGGATAATCTTACAAACACCTTTTAAATTCTAGAACATCATTTTACCTCCCCCCATTTCACTCATTTGAACCCCTTGTAAACATTTATTAGATATTGATTGATTGATTATATTCATGTGTGAATTATTAGTTATAGTATGTTACTAGATCTAGCCGTGATAATAGAAGGCGGTAATGTTGGCTGTTGGAGTTGGAGTTAGAACAACGATTTAGAAGGCAGTGCTAACCTAATCTGACGTTTTGGTTGTGGTGTTTGTGATGTATTTTTGGTTTAAATTATTGGGAATTTAATTTGTAATTATAATAATTTGATTGTGTATTAAGTTTGTGTGTTGCATGATTTGATCTGATAGCTGATTTATTTGTGAGGTAAGTCAGAATGTTATGCTTTAGGATTAGGAGTAAACTTTACAATTCTTTAGTAAATACTCAACTCAAATTAGGCTTAAGTTTTAAACTTAAAGAATTTCTTCTACGTTCCGTTAAAATAATTTTAAGTTAATATTGCTAATATTGAAATTTATGCAACTTAAATTTGATAGCTTACTCAAAATGTAACTTAGGCCTACATAAATGTAACAGCCCAAAGCCCTGACTCTTTAAACAGTGTTCAACTTACTAGGCCTTACTGATATTGTTATAGATTTAGCCTAGTCTTTAGATTTTGTGTATGCATAAACCTAACAAAAAAAATGTTTAAGAAATTTTCTAAGACATAGCACATAGGCCTAGTTTTATTCATTTCTCATACCGGCTGGGTTCAACTTAAGTTTAGTTAATATAAATTACTTCATGTAAGCTGATGAAACTGTTCTAAACTAAACCTAACCTTAACCAAACATGCAGTATATGTGAGTAAATGTAGGACAGAAACTAAAGTGCAGCCCTATATTTGCATCACATCCATGAATGCACCTTATACAGTACCTACCAAGTTTTCACCTTCATTCAAAACTGTTAAAATTATACCTGCCATAGACTATGGTTCTGCATTATTGCAAAATGTGTTTCCCTCCATTTTCCCCAACTTCTCCCTGTATTTGACAGATTCAAATAGGCCTACTGTGATACCCATTAACCTATTAGGCTACTAGCAGACAAAAGCAAACCATAATGACTAAGTAATGTCGCTAAATGTACACAACAACTCCGACATCTTATACGATCTTTGGTTCTCTAGTCGTAGGCCTGGAGGCTAGGAAATCGTGATCTTCTCTTTACTTTTTTAGTTTTTAGTGATATGTGTACGTGTAAGTGTGTTACATGTTCATTTTGGGGCCTGTCTTTATGGTGAGCAGCGTGCTCATTGAAGAATAAAGTTGATTTAAATTGTAATAAGTTACAGCTTTTGTGCGTGATACTCTCTAGTTAGTAACGTATTGTAAATTTTTAATCTACTGCTAGTTTTCCTGCAGTTGTTAGTTGATTAGTTTGACATTCACTTGATTTTCTACAAACCGATATTGAACCGGATAGTAAGAAATAACTTACAAATCAAGAAGAAAAATTTACATAGACTCAATTTAAGTACCAAGTAAGCTAATTTATACTTGGGTGATTTAACCAATGTTTTCACTGGATTAAATTTTGGTCAAACCATGAACAAAATCGATTAAACTAATAAATCATACTTTTCACAGTAGGGCGCATTTTGTGTTTTGGACTTACTTACTTACTCTTACTCCCAGGGCCATTTATATCGGAGGTGATATTTGGCCGCACCAACAAATCTTCGCCAAGTTAACCGGTCTTTCGCATCATCCTCCGTTGCCCCAATTCTCTCCAAATCTTCTTGCACTTGCTTCCACCACCTCTGCTTAGGTCATCCCCGGGCGTCTTCCTGTAGTGTTTCCCTTTAAAACTCTTCCCAGTCTACAATCTTCACCTCTTCTTAATATATGACCAGTAAGTTTTGGACTTACGAATATAAATTATTTTCAGAAGATAACAGGTTAATTTACCATGCTTTTGTCTTGTGATTTGGTACCTACCTCCTTTAAGGGTGGATGACGATAGTTTTGGCGACCATGTCACTTTCTTCGGATCAGGAAAACTCAATCTTCTCTCATACTGAGGTCGTCAAAACATTAAACATGCATGCATAAAAATGTAGACAAAACTTAAAAAATAAATATTTGACTGCCACAGTAGATAATAGAGGTTGCCTACATGGTTTACATGTCCGGAGACTACATTGTAATATAATGTAACCACAGTAGTTAATTCCCAATACCTAAAAAATTAATATTCGACTGCCACAGTGGATACAGTTACACGGTTTACATGTCCGAAGACTACATTGTAACTTAATAAAGGGTCATTCCATATGAAATCAACAAATAAAAAATTATTTTCAACCTGACCATCTTGGATTTTGATGAAATTTTGCATACTTGTAGTATTTTGAGTCCTGAATCCAAATATGCTTTTTAAAAAAATCTATCTTTTATAGTTTTTATGATATAAATATTTGAAAATGGTAAAAATTGGCGTTTTTTACCGTGCGCGCAAATCTAAAATGTTGTCTAGGATGAGTTCTATTAATCCTATCAAGTTGTACAATGGCTCATTTTAAAGAGGATTCAAATGCCTTTAATCTGATACCAAACTCAACCTACTTTGGTAAAAATTAATTTTTTTTGAAGATTTCAAAATATGTTTTTGAAAAAAAATTTAAGATAGTGTTTTTTGAAAAATTTGAAAATTACATATGTTAAAGAATGTAATCTAGTAAGTACATTATAAAAATTTCAAAATGGGATGATAATGGGATCAGCAGTTATGATAAAAATACTTGACTATGGTTCACTGTTTCCAAGCGTTTTGGCGCATACAGCGTGTAAGTACTAACCTAAATGTATCATTAAATAAGAGTCTATTAATTATATGATTAAAATTAAAAATATCTGCCTATATTTGAATTATGTATGTCATATTTTGCTATATATAAACTAAATCTAGCAAGTAAACAACATTATTCAAGTTAACAGAGTTTCCGTCAACCTTTGGACAAACATGGACCAATGGGTTTTGGTTCAGGTTCCTCAGTCTTTTCCAGTTAGTTGTGTTGCAACGATTTACTGTAATCAATCTTTAAGTCTGGCTTTTCACTAGGCTGGAGACACTAGTCAGCCACTAGATCTGTGCAAAATCACATTGTGAAGCACTTTACGTTTACACTATCAGGTCGCAGCGACCCACCTCGGCTGTAGCGACTCGGTCTTGAGACAAGAGGAAAGACTGACAAAATTTAACCACTAGTAAATTCATTAAAAAGGTTGATTTGGCAAGAAGCGCTCGGTTTATTCATAATAAATATAACAAAACTTTTACATTCACTGAATTGAGAATTAAAATATATACCCACCAACTAGACCTAGTTATGAGATAGGTACAATTTAATTACTTTAATAATAAATTTAAACATTTATACGCTCGTTATGATCAGTTTTCATTGGTCGCAATTTTTTAATAAGTATTGAGGCACAGATTAAACAATAAAAGTATATCAGTAGGCCTACATACAACTCATTTTCTTATGTCCAATTAATTAATCATTCAAATATAAATAATACCCCCGCCGCAGCAAACCTGCAGACTAAGCGAATTTCCATTTGCCTGATTGGATTTAGACTAAAATGTCTCCTTAAAAATATCACATTTATTCCCTATTTAAATAGAATCAGTTTAACACATACTTAGGTTTGCTGCAACAGGGAGGGTAAAAGTGTTTTTTTATGTAAAATGTTAATAGTTAGTAAGAAATAAAAACATTTTCCAAATTTTGGCAAAATATGTTAATAAACAAGCGCACTACAACGGTTTACTTATTCTCCATAAGAATAACATGGGAATTTTAAATTAACAATTTTTTGGAATTTTCTCCGTAACCATTAGGCGCATTATAACGCTTCAATATACTAAATTATTTGTTTTTTTAAGCTCTACAAAATAGTTTGGAAAGAAATTTCAAAATTTTATGTTTTTTGGGTCAAAAATAGGAAAAACTCATTTTTACCCCATAAAAGCCCCCATAAACCCCTGTTCCCATGGTCCGATCATGCTGGTTCGCGAACTCGTTCGAATAAACGTAGGTTTACACGTTTGTACCAAATTTCATCAAAATCGGATCATTTTTGCTCGAGCTATCGCGCTAACGGACACACATATATATATATATATGAATTTGAACGGATGGTGTTTTTGGCCTCTAGGGACCTCAAAACGAAAAAAAAAAATCGGTCCCGGGTCCAGGTCTTACCACGAGTACTACGGTAATAGCTTATTCCCTATATGGGAAATTCGCTAAAATGATATTTTTAGTAGTCTAGAACTATTTTAAGCAATTTTTGGAAGAGTTGAGTTTCTCGAGTTAGTGAGTTTCCCTTGTGCCGTTACAAAAATTACTACCAATTAACCGATAACCATTCTTCTCTGTATAGGGTTAACTTATGTATTAATTTGGTCAGTGCATTTAGGATGAAAATGTGTTCATCATACAAAATAATTTTTATGCTTTTGTATAGGTAGGCTAAATATCTTATGCAAAATAAATTGTTGTAGTTTGCTGCTTTATGGATATATTTTAATCAGACTATTAATATTTTGGGCCTACTTAAAATCAAACATTATTCCCCACCCTTAGGAAACTTAAGTACTTGTTAAACCTTAGTTATTAAAGGGAATAAATCTGTAAAGTTTAAGGAAATTATAATCAAAATCCAATCAGACAAAGGGAAATTCGCTTAGTCTACAGAGTGTGTATAGGCCTTCCAACCGGGAAAAAACCATGAATTCGAAGAGACCTGGAAAACAGAAAAAGCAGCGGATACAGTAATATTATTGTAAAAATCCAATCAGACAAATGGAAATTTGCTTTAAAGTCTACAGGCTGTTTTCTGCGGGAGGGGATTGTATAAAAACTTATCTGCTACAATAATGCAATATCTTTAAAAAACTGAAAGTATTATTCAATATAAATTCTGATTCCGATTCTCTAAAGCTACATACAAGATGAGCAGAGTATATTGAACCCTAACTATAGTCTAGCCAACAGTCTAACAGTCTCCTGCCAAGTGACAATACTTTATAGCCAGACTTGGGACATACTGTCATGTCTTCGCTGATGTTTACGACTTATCTTCCAACACAAGTTTATTGCCCCGGCCGAGCAAGATAGTAACATTTCAATTCAGTTATATACATTGTTTATTGTTTGTACTTGAATGTGTTTACAGATACTCAAACACAATACTTTTTAAAGTTTCTTTTTGGTTTTAGGACGCTAGGCACGAGTCCGGGATTGTTTTTCACATTACTACAGGCTAGACCTAGAGGTTGCGGCATTATCACTTAGATAAAATCCATTG